ACGGTGCTGCCTAGACTGCAGAAGGATACTTACTCATGGGCTGAGAGCTGACCCCAGAAGGTAGGGTGTCGCCGTGGTCACCCTCAGCTGGCAACATGTGTGTCAGCAACTCAAATTTTCCGCCGCTCTTCGCACGCCTGTGAAAAGTGCTGTGATTACTGATTTGGGGGTTCCCAGTAAGTTTTCATGGGTAGGTAAGTTTGCAAGCACAGAATCCATGACTGTGTATCTGAAACATCACTATGTCCTCATGTAATTAATATAAGAATCATCAGCAAGATAGTTTACATTCTCTTTTTCGTGCTAAGTTGTTGAAATCCCTGGTCTATTTTATGCTCACATCTCAATTAGGACCAGCCACGTGTCAAGTGCTGGAGAGCCACACCTGGCAAATGGCTTCTGTGTCAGACGCTGCACATCTCTAGCTTTCTTCAGATCCTCAAAGGCACCTATGAACTCAAAAAAAAAAAAAAATCAGTGCCAGGTATAACCACTTTGGAGAGCTATGGAGCAGCTAAGAAAACCACACATTCTCTCTCCAGTGCAGGAATTCCATGTCCAGGCAAAGCCCCAGAGTTAGTTTGCCTTGGAGGCTGGTGGTCAACATGTATAAGAATATTCTTTGCACCCCTGCTAGTAAGAGTACAGTGTTGGGGGAAAAAAAATCAAATGTTCATCATCAGAAGAATGGATCCCTAAAATACAGCACAAACACAGGCTAGAATATTCAACATCTTTGCAAAGGAGAGAACCTGAGCTCCATGGATCAACAGGGATGAAACTCGCAAACACGGAGTTGAGCTGATGAGGACCAGGCAGGTCACAGACATGATACTATTTACACAACATGTAACGACATGCAAGGTGATACTCTATAGCAGTTGTGGGTTCACACATATGCGGCAAAAGCAGTTTTTTTAAATAATAAATACCTCATTAGTGACAGTGGTTACTTCTGGAAGAGAAGGGGAAACATTTGGAGAGGGTTCTAACCAAATTTGAAAAGTTCTATTTCTTTGACTGGACAATAGTGGGCATGTAGGAGCTCATTATATTATTCGGGATACTCTTTGGGGGGTGTGCGCCTGAAATATTCCATTTCAAGGTAGCTGCTGTGGTTTGTGCTGCTGTGCAATCTGGCCTGTCTGCCTTAGAAAACAATAGTATCTATATTGGAAGTAGATGGTGAGAATTAAGTGAGCCTCCTGTGCCGTGTGCATGGCCCGTTGTAACCGCCAATGAAATATTTGTTAGCAATAGTAATATCATTAAGCAATCATTCTATTCTAGGTGGTGTGTTTCATGCTTTTATCTGCTTTTTTTTTTAAACTATAGTTATTCAATGTATATAGGAACCAAGGGGCACCGCAGTGCAATGGAGAGAAAACAGCATTACTGTCATGACAAACAGCATTACTAGCACCTGAAAACAGGTGGTGACAGCCTTCACCACGTGCTCTCGACTGCACCATGATATCTACTAACAACCAAGATTTTGATTTACTAGTTTATAATCTTTATCTTTCCAGACAAATCAATCTAATGTTACCACTTTTTATTTCTTTTCTTTTGATCTGTTTTTTGGCCCAAGGATGGGGTGGGAGGGCTGGTGGGTTTAAGTGGTCAACTGTGTGGTCTTAGAAGTATGAGTTAATTTTTTTACATGATCTTTCAGTATATATTTTCTTCATTAAATTATTTGGAAAAAATATAAATACCATCTAAAAATATACTCCACTATATGTAGTATATATGATAGTATATCATATATAACACATGATATAATTATCTATAAGGTAATGTATATTCATTTATTACTATATTACACGCAACATATTGTATACAGGCAGAACCTGGAGATATTGCGGGTTGGGTTCCAGACCACCGCAATAAAGCAAGTAGTAATCTTTTGCTGGTGGAGAGTCTTGCCTTCTACTTGTAAAAAAAACAACATCCATGAAACACAATAAAATGAGATATGTAATACATGATAGGCATTAATGTTTTTTTAACAAGAAGGCTCTGGGTAGGAGCTGCGATTGCTCCCATTTCATAAGGAGGAAACTGAGACATGGAAGAGGCAGGACCCTTGGAGAGTGCTCACTTGACCAGGAATGATAGCAGAAGGGGTCCTAGGAGGAGCCCTTGGAGGCTGGTGGGCAGGAGACACAGGAGGCAGAGGTGGGAGGCACAGGGGCCAGATGCAGGAGGGGTACGTGCACCCTGGGCCCAGGCCTACAGCCTCCCTCACCCACACTTGCCCCTCTAGGTCACTCCAGGTGACCCCACAGGGTGGCGTTGCTAAATGGGGAGGTGCAAAGCTCCCAGGATCATCAGTGAGACTCTCAGTGGGTGTATGTGGGGCGGGGGTGCTGAGCAGGGCCCAGGCCTGCAGTGTCCCCTCTCATCCTCCTCTCAGCGGGCGCAGGTGGCCAGCTCTGCAGCCTGACCTTTTCAGCCCTGTAGCAGCTGCTCTGCAGTGCTTGCACATGCACACCGGCCCAAGTCCCCAGGGAGGGACTCAGCTCCGCTCCAGGCACCAGCTGGGTCTCACTCAAGCTGCCTGGGCATGGGGCAGGGGGCGGCCTGGAGTCCCCAGACCCTCTTGGAATCCTGCCTCTGCCTCTCACTGGCTGCGGGCCAATGCCTCTGCTTCTCCCTGCTTCAGTTTCCCATCAGTAAATTGGAAATGGTGATTCTACAAGTTTAGGACTTGCAGGCAATAAGGACCCCACAAGGTCCTGAATGAATTAGAAAGAAGAAAGAAGAGAAAAGAAGAGAAAAGAAAAGAAAAGGAAAGGAAAGAAAAGAAAAGAAAAAAGAAAAGAAAGAAAGAAAAAAAGTGAGCCAGGGCCTGGCACCTGATTAGTATTCAATAAAAAGTCATCATGACATTATTTCATTTCAATTTTAGTTTGGGGATAGGTAA